GCCTGCTGGGATGTCAAAGGTGTCTGATTCCTGGCCCTCAAAGGCAATTGTGGATTTCCTGTTGGTCATGAAGGACGCAACCCATCCCACCAGGTCCCTGGGGATGCCCAGTCGCCGGAGGATGTGAACCATTCGCTCCCGCAGCACCTTGTCATAGGCCCCTGTCATGTCTAGGGAGAGTACCGATGCCACCTGTCCTGGGTGCTGCCACACTGTCCTTATCTGGGCTAGAAGTTGTGCTATGGCTGTTTCAGTGGACCTGCCCCTTCTTGCCCCCATTTGCTGTGAGGGTAGCAGGTTGTGGTCCTCCGCGATCTTCCGCAGGCGTTTTGCAGTTGCTGCCTCCACAATCTTCCCTATTGTGTCCAGCAAGGCAATGGGTCTCCACGCTCCTGCAGTCTGGTAGTCAGCCTTCCCTGGCTTGCGCAAGGCCACTGTCTTGGCTTCCTTAAACGTGTCTGGGTAAGTCTCCCAATGCCAGCATGCATTGGTGAGAGCTGTTATGGCCTCCACAAATGTTCTGCCCAGCATCTTAAGGAACTCGTTGGTGATCCCACTCCTCCCTGGTGCCTTCCTGTTTGGCAGTCTCTGGATCAGGCTTTCCATGTCCTCCACACTGATGGTGTCATTTGACGCTTCCCTTTCAACTTGCAGCAGCTCCATATTGGTGTCACTTAAGTCGGCGGGCTCTGGCTGTGGGAAGAACCGTTGTCGTAATGCCTCAGCCTTCCCCTCAAAAGAGGTTTCTACCGTCGCGTCAGCCCCTTCCCCTGTTCTCAGGGGGGGGACAGTAGGTGCCTGTGGGGGCAGATGGCTTCTTTCCTTGCCCCATTTTGCTAGTCCCCACATCAATCTGGGGTCATCACGGGTCCTGTCAACCAGATCTCTGAAGTTTGCTGTCTTAGCCAAGTGGATTTCTCTGTTGCGCTTGCAGCGTGCCCTGAGCCGCTCCATTTCTGGGAGCTGGGACCTCCTAGCCTGCTTGTACTCCTCCACTGCCTTGGCCACCCTCGGTGACCACCATGTCTTGGATTTTAACCCAGCCTTACTTACGGTGGCGTGTTTGTCCGCTAATGTCCCTACAAATCCTACCAGGTAGTCTGCATACTCCTTGACTGCTTGCCTGGAGTCCAGGCTTTGTGGCACATATAGCTTTTGGCAGTCCCTTGCTACCTCCTCAGGCTCCGCATTCTTCCAGTTTCGTCTCTCAGCCTCCTTTGGGATGGGTGTGAGTTCCAGTGTTGTTTCTATGGGCTTATGGTCAGATCCTTTGCATGCCTCCTCCGCTATTGCACACCTCCTGAGCTTGTCGTGCAGGAGTGGTGATAGAAAGGTGAGGTCTATAGTCGTTCCTGGGCTGCCTCTGTCCTGCCATGTGGTAGCTCCTACAGGTGTGGCAAGCTGGAGACCCAGCCTATCCACCTGTGCTATTAGCTGCCATGCCATGCGGAAGTTTCTCTCCACTCTCACCCCTCCCCACCTCTCATGGTGGACATTAAGATCTCCTAATATGACCAGCTCTGCATCTGTGCCCATTCCGGCTACCTCCTGCAGCTGGCCTATGGGGGATTCCTCCGGTTCACTGCTGTAGCCCCCTGGAGGAGGTGCATACACATTGACTATTTGCACCTTACCCAGGTCGGTGGCGATTGTCAGCACTGCAATGTATTCTGAGTGGTAGTGGCACTCCCATGTGTGTTCCACGAGCCTTTTGATGACCAGAAAGCATACTCTTGGGTGTGTTTCCGGGTGATATGCTGGCCAGAAGCCGCAGCTTCTGGGGTAGTGTGTTGCTAGCATGTGGAGATTCCGGCTTGGGCTCTTGTACTGCAATTACGTCGTATTTGTCTTCTGTTGCAGGGTCTGCCAATAACGCACCCATAACTCTCGCAGAGTTGTGCACGTTATATTGTAGGAGGTTTAGTGTGTCCCTCATTGTTGCGTGGGGGCTGGGGTCTGCGTGTAGTCCATTAGGTCCTCCTGCAGCTGAGACACAGGTTGTGAGCTCTGTGGTGCTATAAAGGCACTTAGAGCTCCTCTCTGGGCTTCGCCTGCTTGCAGAATCCCCTTGGGTCGGCCTGGTCCTCTTCTTTGGCCCTCTGGTTCCCCAGTGGGTAACCTTTTATTTCCTCTGGTTTGCACCACCTGCCACCCATCTTGTGCTTTTGGCTCCATAAACCTACGGGGTCTTTCCATGTATGCTGTACGGGCCCTGCTTGATGCCCTCTCCCTCTCAGGGCACTTAGAGACCCAGGCTGGGTGTGTTCCCCTACAATTTGCGCACCTCGGTTGTTCCCCAGCTTTTCGTGCTGGGCATTCCTTGACGTCATGTTCTTTTGCCACGCAGAACCCGCACCTTTTGGCCTGCCTGCAGAATCTGGCCGTATGCCCATACTCATGGCAGTTAAAGCACCGGGTGACCTGCGCTTCCCGGTGGAAGATTTCAACGTCACAAAATATGCTGTCTATTATCAATCCATTGTCTACTAGTAGGTTGGCTTGCTGAGGCGAGGTGACGCTGAGTACAAGAGACCCAACCTTTGCCTGCAAGCTGGCATTCCGTCGTAGAGACAGTCTCTCAATTTGTACCCCTCTTCGGAGTCCTTCATTCTGTGCGTAAATTGCCTTGATGGCTTGCTGTTCCTCCTTCCAGTTGGTGTTGCCCATTGGGACTCCCTTAACCATGACTGGGTACAGGGTGTGCTTTGCCTTCGCCTTTTGTCCCAAGACTTCCAGCCATGTGCTGCTCTTAGTCAAGGCCTCCCTGGTCTCCCTCGCGTCGGTTGTCAGGATGATGTCTCCACTGGGGAGACATCTTGCTGCAAGCACCTTTCCCTTTGTCACATCCACAATTCTGGCGTTGACGGCTGCCACAATCGCTGGGGGGGTGGCCTCCTCAGCTGGGAGGGCTTCGCAGTCCCGGCGTAGGACAGTAATCTCGCGGAGGGTTCGGTTAGGCACTGGTTTTTCTGGAATTCCCTGTCCTGCGACCTTGGCCCATGATGACAGTTTGGCTTCTTTCACTCCTTCGGGTTGGCGTTGTGCGCGTGTCGCCACGGTCGCGTCTTCCACCTTGGCCAGCATCACCTCCCCCAGTTTGACCTTCAACTCCCTCACCAACCTGGCTGCCTCCTCCACTACCTCCTTCCCTTTGCCGTTGATGGCAGGATCTTCGCTCCCATTGCAAAGAACATTGCTCAACTGTGTCAATATTGCTCCACATGTGGTGGGCTGCTGCCTCTTGTCAGAGTTTTCTTCTCGCGGGCGTCCGTCAGCGCGTCCCACGATTTCCTCCATCACAACCATGGCACCAGCACCACCTCAACTGGGGATTGCTGGGTGTCGTGAGATTCCCTGCGATCAGGGCTATCGTTCGCTATCGTTTTCAGTGTATTTATATAAAAGTAGAGACCTTTTTCCTTTTAAAATTTCAATATTTCCAAATCCCGTGATTCTGTTTCCTAAATTGAAATTTAAATTAATTATATAATTTTTTTAATAGCTGTTAGAATTTAATTGAAAAATATTGAATAGTTCTATTAATAACAATACAGTAATCTGAATACATCTCATATAATTTATATATGTAATTTATTAAGAAAATCAACTGCTAATACACTTTATAACTCAATACATAATGCAGATTTTTAATATCTAAAAATTGTATAATCTACTATGTAGATATACATATATAAATTACATATTATATATAAATTTGATAGGGTTATTGTTGAGATTTATGTATCTAAGCATTCTTGATTTAGTATGCAAAATAGCGACCGTTAGGTGGGTGATCACGTTAGTGTACAATTATATTTTTCATACAAACCTTTTTGAGAAAGGATGTTAAATGCTCTTTTGAGGCCAATGATCGTTAACACAAAAATGTTGCCCAGAAAACTTCAGATAATTCTCTTGAAAATTCAGGACATCTTTCCAAACTGCTGGTTGCAACATGTGTTAAATGATGTGATTCATGTCATCATCATACGTGCTCAAACGTACTTGACAGACAAGTCTACCCTAGGCACTGACATCTCTTCCTTCACAGCTGTGTTGGTTTGACTCTCCTGCATCCTTGGCCCCACCAGCAATTAGCACTTAGATCCCGTCAATGGTGAATCCCATCTTTCCTTCAGCTGCACTGGCCCTGGACAAGCCAGAGACAGAAACCCGTGAAAGTGCTTCGAGATTTGCGCCCACAAAATCCAGCTACAATTCTACCACTTGTGATGAGGAATTGAAGTACATGTGTAATGGATCAAGACGAGATATTCATGTGTATATGTACTGTACATTACATGACAGCAACGGTGTTTGGATTTTTGGGTACATCCGCAGGCTTCACAGCTATTTCTTGATATGCCCTGTAATTCTATGAGTAGCAGGTAGATATGCTGTGGGATAGTGAATATGGTTTCTTGTTCGGCATTGTCCTGTTGTTTGATGATACACTAGGGATCAATATGATGACCACGAATCATGTAAGATTGGCAAACTACGATAATTTCTTTCCCGAGATTTATCATACAGATATCTTCAGTAATATATTCAAATGTACTCTATTTAAGCATCTGGGATCTACACAACATCAGGATTATCGAAAGAAGCTAGCGTGACAACAACACCCAAATGCAAAAAAAAGACTTAAAGCAATTCTGCAGCTATATACATAAATGAACATGCAGCAATTGACAGTGGACCGTAATCACGTCATTCGCCGAAAGGGATGCGCCTCCGTATTTAACACATATTCATCCAAGCTAATCAAACTAGGATCGCTGAACATCAAATAAAAATACTTCAAGGTCTCCGCTAGCCAGAAGCTCTCCATGCGGTTTGACAACGGCACTTCCCCGGTCGCTCCTCTCGCAGTCGTAACGTCATCCAGCCCCGCATTTCCATAGGGACTCTTCGTCATGTTTTCAATGGCCGTGAACATCTCCCATGCCGTATCGAGAAGCTCCGTCCGGCCGGTAGTGCTATATAGAATAAAGACACTCTCGATGGCTTCCGGGCGAAGGATATACCGCCTGTCCGTTATGGATTTAATACCCTTGGGGAGGCGTTCGCGAGCTATGATTGCCTCTGCGCTGTTGTCTTGGTCTTGTCCTTGTCCTTGGTTGGGAGAGGGCCGGGAATTTTCATGTGCGTCGGCTACTGCATTCTTGTACTTTGCCTCATCTGAGACGCAAGGTTCGTTGGGCTGCGCATGGAACCATGTGGAATACCTCGGGCATCATCCCTGAGGGAGTCGCTTTGTAAGCCCAGATACACCCGTCCGTAAGTTTACGTGCAATATTCAATATGGGCGGGGATATCGAATAATTTGGACCCCAGTGCAAACATGCCACCGGCAAAGCAGACGAGATGCTGGCCCTCGGCACTGAGCTGGACATTTCTATTGGCATACGCAGTCACCATGCCGGAAAAGAGTATATCTGCATTGTCTGGCACCATGGGCCTATATAGGACATGTTTGGCCACCACAGCCATGGCATCTTTGTACATTCGCCCATACATATCATCCACGCCACCCAACAGCGCGTGCATCTTGGGCAGGTACTCGTAGAAGGAGTCAGCCATCGCGCCCAGAGTGAAGCTATTCCTTTGCCCCTGTAGATTTCGCTTGCGCGCATCGAGAATAAGAGGCCACATTCCCGGAAGCATCGTTTCCCCCTGTTGTTCCTCGAATAATTTTGTAACTCGGTGAACAGCATCGTACCATTTAGGGTCCTTGGTGAGTTGCGACAAGCGGGTAAATTCCATCGTCAGGGAGCCGATTTCGGCAAGGAGGCAGTGGGCAGAGGCCTCTTGCTTGTGGTGGAGGAACGCGGCATGGATCTTCCAGCGCGTAACAGGCATGCGGTTTGGAGTGTCAAAGGCAACGTAGAGAATGTTTCCCAGCTCCGTGGCCTTGGTGAGAAGCCCCGGCTCTCCGCTTAGATCATAGGCTGATAGAAGGCCGCCGAGATAGCGGATTGTTGTTTCAAAGACGTTGATTTCCACGGATTTAGTCATGGTGAAGTCGATGTCAGCAACGGCGCGAACAGCTTCGTGGAACTCATCTTTCAGGTCCATTATCCATAGGGTGTCAAGACTGTCAACAAGGGTAGCTGCCCATCCGCCAAAAGTGTTGTAAGATCCTCTTGTGAGCGGAGTAACTTCGTCGTGCATCCATGCGTATTTCCTGTACGCATTCCAGGCACGAAGGAACGTTTGTTTGACAGCTTCCTGTCGGGGCTTTTGCGTCGATAGAATTTCTTTGAAGGATTGATCTGAGAACGCATGCTGAACCTTGGGGGGCGTTTTAACCGGGTCAGAAGGTAGGGGGACAAATGATTTCACGGGGTGTTTTTCCTTGAAATACTTCCATTCAAATTTGAATCCTTTCGGCGGCGTTGAGTAATTTGCATCTGGGGCGAAGGCGTACGGGACGGTTCTTCGATAGGAAAACAGGAGAACAGCGGACAGAATAACATAAATTAGCCATTTTTTTTTGAACGGGACCATTGCCGCTTGCCTTCGTTGTGTTGGCTAGAGGGTTGGATCGCGATTAGAGCAGGACGCAATTGATGGGTTAGAGGATGAGGCTTGACGTAGGAGAGATTCCTGCATGGCAGCTGTTTCAAGATAGTGTCCGCACTAATAACAATTCGGATCAATTAGTTAGTTATTGTTTGATATTCAACTTTCAAATAGGTACAAGAGCAACCAGCGGGCATACGCCGTGCTAGGGACAGAACTTTATCTAGGCAATCCTCGACTGTGTTGCTACCTACCATCCATGGATATGAGCTCTGTTAGCGTCCCAATCAACTGCGGGTGAACCACATGGTCTGTGTCGAGGACGTGAACCTTGGAAGTCTAAAAGATCCAACTGGTATAAAAGGGGAATGAGAGACCGCGAAGATAGCGGTGGTGGACGCCGGACAGGGGCCCTGGCCAGCGGGTTATCCCCTAGAGTTCGGGGCTGGTTTAACGAAAGCCAGCGCCGACGCCGGGAGGAGTTACTAGCGCTGACCAAAGATTCGGTGCCTAAGGCCCAGCCGGTTCACCGTTCACCTGACTCTGGTCATTGCCGACATCGATCAACTTCATGGACAATCCAAGCCAACCACCCCATACAGCCAATCCTTTCCTCCTCCAACAGAACAGCTCCCTGATTTACATCTTTTTCAATCTTCTTTAGACAAACATATTCCTGAGTGCCCACGACTGCAACAGTCGTCAACTCAAAAGACTGGCGTCTTCCTCCTCGAACACCAAACCCACCCCTCCCACTTCTCGCCATGTTCCCCTTCCACAGTCCCAATCTCGTTCTCGCAATGTACTAAGATCATACCGCACTCGCTCGGCGACCTCGAATGATTCTCCACCTCCGTTTTCGTCCTCCAATGCTTTCTCCCCGTCCGCAGAGCCCTCTCAGCAGTCGCAGCCGTCAGATACATCCGCTCTTGACGGCCGTGACGTATTATTCTCACTCCATCCTCGAGTTGCAGTGATTCTAGGTGTTGACCGCCGCTGGTATATTCCCTTGTTGCTTTGTCGGGGCCTTAGTGTCCTTCCGGCGGCATGGTGGGGCTTGCGTTGTGCTTTCACGTTCTTAGCAGAGCTACTGCGTATCAGACCACATTTTTGGCATGAGGGGTGGACGGCGGCTATTGTGAGGGGTGCTGCGGCCGATTGGGACGTGGAGAGGCGGTTCAGGGTTACAGAAGTGGCATTGGCTATTATTTGGGTATTTTTCCTGCTCTGTCTCTTTTGTCTTTGCAGCTGAATCCCGTGTGCATGACCCTGTTTGTCTGGAGACGATGGAGGTTAAAGGACGTACAATACGTATAAAAACCCTTCCTGCTAACTTATTTCCTGTCTCTCAGTGTTCGGCGTCTGCATATTTATTTTATTTTTTTACAGATTGTATGATGTCTAGATGGTAAGCTTCCCCAGATTCCTCCTGAACATTCGCCCAGACAGATCATCGCAGCGGACCGGCCATATTCATTACCGTTAAACTAATACAGAAAACCCAAGGCTTCTTAATTATACACCCGCTGCTGTTGTGATTCGACTTTTGGCTACAAACGGCCTTCTTGCCTACCTCACGTCGTGGATCCTTTATCTATCCGGTGCCTCCTCAGATCCCCGCCTCCTGCTTCCAGCCTGGATATCAATTGCATCGGTTCGTTCCACCAAAACGTCATACATATACGTATGCGGGTACCCGTTTATTTAGTGTTTTGATATCTAACGCTTCCGTTGCCTCCATAAACAGGTCCTCTCGTTCGTCTACCACACCACCCAGCGTCAAATTAACATAAAAAAAGAAACCTTTGCGACGATCTATGTTTTCTCAATCGCCAGCTTCCTAAGCATGTGCTCCTTGCTTTTGCAATTGCATCTTACACGCGAAAATGAACCTGAAGTCCCATTATTTGTTATGGGGAAGGAATTACTGGAATTTGGCGTGCAGATGATTGCTCAATACCGATTTGGAGGTGAGGGATCAAATGGATAGAAAGAGATGATGTTTTCTGGGATTTTCTTTTCGTTTCTAATCTTTTCCTTACCTCTCTTTTCTCTTCTTCATCGATGTCGATCGACATGGCCAAGCTTGATGTGCCGAATTCTCAGGTAACAACAGTGGTAATTCATTCGCAAAAAACATTTCCCCATTTCATTTTTCATTCATTCATCCATTCGTTCATATGAATTTCCCCATTTTCCATTTTGTCATTTTGTTCCTTCTTCTTTTCACCCATAGAAAGAAAGAAAAAAAAAAAAACAAAAAAGATCTTGGACGAGAAAGCTTATTGTCGTTTTTCCTCTTTGCCATAATTCACAACTACCTAATGTGATGATATGTATTTTCCCCTTCTCAAATCATGACTTGATCCCACCCCCCCAAATTGTTTGGCTTCTTTTCATTTACTCTCTTCTATTTCAATATCACACTGTTTAGAAAAAGACGTAAAAAGAGCAGTTTATCTGTGCTTGCCGGAAGTCACAGCATGGAAGAAAGATTATCGCAAGGAACTTTTTCGGCTGGGGGGGGGGGTTAGATAATAATATATTTAATTAGGTAGTTAGTTATCTACATTAGGAGACTTTGATATTTTATGCTGAATCTGAATTTCGGAAAAAAAAAAAAAAAAAAAAAAAAGGAAGAAAGCAAGTCGCCAATTATTTCCGAAGATGATTCATAGTCATTATGATAAGTATGGGATTTTATCAACATTTGGCAATGAGAAAAGCAAATCAGGGCCAAGGCGGTTCCGACGAAGAAACCGAAACCTTGGACCAATGTGTTGCCACACATTACAAACTTCACCCACGCGATGCTTGGTTCAATCAACAACCCGGTGAGACGGTCACCTATTCTTCCGCCTTTACTATCATTACTATTAAATGCAGCTGTTGATTCCTTTATAACGACTAAAAAAAACCAAATAGAAAAAAATAACGAAGTCATAAGAGGGAGCAATTTGCACATCGCTATCATCCCATTGTCGTCATCTGAGCTGTAATGAATAACTGAAGAACAAACATTAAAAAGTAACCGAAGATGGTTTTCCAGATCATGGGGTATCTCATCAACGCCTCGTCCCGTCATCGTCCTGTCTACTCGGATTTGAAAGGGAGGAGGCGGGCGTAATCTTTCCCCTCGGTTGTGATGGTTGGCGTTTTTTGTTCTAAGAATCACATGAATTCGACTTCCCAAGCACTCTCTATCCTATCCAGACCGCTAAATCGCAGGACAGAAATTCTGCACGGTAATACGCAATTCATAGACCAATAACGGATCAAGGGCGATCTCTCCACAGAGGGAGCCTCCCCAATCAGTGGACAAAGGTGACTAATGATATGGCTCTTATAGGTCCTCTGGAGTGGACTGAGAAGACGAAACGGGACGGGCGTGATGAGATTGGCTTAGAACCCATGGACCTATATAGAAGCTTTGTTAGATTTATGTCACTAGAAAGAAAGCCGTGTTTCTCAAGTCAGCTGTAAGTAGAACATACCTTAATGGTCTTCGCGTCGAGTTCGAGTCCTTCCTTCTTATCGACCAAAAATTCTTGGACATCCTTGCGCTGATCCCCTTGGAGCTGGATCACCTCGCCCATCTCACTGTCGTTGACGATGGTGCCATTGCAAGCTGTGATCCTGGTTTAGCAAAAATGAATCCCAGAGCACTAGGGATGAGCAGATCAACACATACCGAACTTCTTCTTAATGACCTTGAGGATTTTCTTCTGGTCGAACTTTTTGGGGAGACCTTGGACAGTGGTCAGGGTCTTGCGACCATTGCGCTCTGCGAGTATAAGTCAGTTGTGTGTCGTACGAATAAATAAAGCAGCAAAATAGAAAGGAGAACATACGTTGGATCCGTATATGGATATAATTTTGGGATTGTTTTGTATCGCCGGTGTCTTCGTCAGCTTCGGCGAAGGGGTCTGTTGCAAGCAGAGCCACGAAGAGCACGTGGTTGGTTAGTAAACCATCCTTCTTTCAGTTTGTTTTGATACACAGAAACATGATCATCACGGGTACCCCGCTATTTCTGGACGGCGCCACCAAAGACCCATGACTTCCAGACACAGCCGCAGCAGACGGAAACAGTAGAATACTCCCAGAGGGCTCTGGGACGTGACTGTTGTGGCATGCGGCCTTGGCTGGTTTTTCGGGCTTGGGTCGAAAAAGAAAGAACGAAACCAGGTTACTGTGGCGACTTACCGAAGGTCTTGAGGTTTTCGATTGACATAAACTCGTTATTTGTCGCGACGGACTTAAAAAAAGGAGTATAAGGTGTAGTTTAGGTAAAACGAGGGGGTCTTGAAGAGTGGAGAGCGGTGAGCAGACACAAGCAGACTGGAAGACTTTGGGGATGGAAGATGGTGAGGAAAGCAAATGGCTGGGGACAGGAATTTAAGCGGGAGGGGGCGAGGGGTATGACTCAGCGTTGACTCAGCGGGGTGTGCGCCCGGGGCTTGGCGGGTCAACTTCTTCAGTAAGGATTTCGAATACGGTTGTAGGTCGAGAAGTGCCAGGAGGACTTGACAACGTCATATATATTGTTACCGGTTCATCCAAGTTTATAATTGCCTACAAACGGATGTTAATCC